CGATAACCTTTAATTATTTGCCACAGTTGTGGAAAAAGGTAAATTTCCATTGCAATATCAATAACTACTATCAATAATTTGAATAAATTTGTGAGAATGTCGCCAACGCGAAATTACTTATATTTGTATAATAATATGCCGGTCGAATTTGTCTTTTGTATACCTAACAATTTCTTCCGAGTAGGAGTTTGCGTGTACTATTAACTTCCCGCGAATTTACCGGTAGGCAGTATATACTGTTTGAGATGACTCAATAATAAAGAAAACATTCATAAGTTTAGAAACTTGTCTTGTGAAGTAAACCTTTCGTACCGGGAGAAATTGATTGAATCTCAACCGGTTTTTATTAAGAAAATAACTACGCGGAGTTTGTAGTCGGAACTGCCATAGACTACTTCCTAGTCATAAAACAAACATTCTGTCATTTTATAGGAAATGCTTTACTTCGAAATGTTAGCGTGCAGTTGTTTTTAAAATCTAATCACCCACTTGTCTGTACTCTCATCTTCGTTAGCCCTTCCTTAACCAGAGCGCCAACCCCGGCCGTGTGGGCTTGAATGCCCCACCCCCGGAAAAAAACTAGCAAAAACTGTAATGAGTCTTTACGGCGAGTACAATTTCCGTTCCGCACCTGCAACGTGCTGTTTTCCTAACCCACTAAACCCGGAGAAATCGTATGTCATAAAGTTGCCTTCCCTCGGTCGATCCTCGTTAAACATAAACTTCTTGATAATGGGTCCGTCTGATGTATTTGTTGTGCTTGGCCTTGAGTCAATACACAGACACCTTCGCAGCCTGTGGGTTTTACCTCTCTATTAATAGTTACATTCAATGAATACCGTCCCAGCCGGAAGCTTTCACGTGTGTGTGTTATTTTGTTTTGTCTCTCGCGATAACGAAGTCATGTTGAAGTTTATTGAACCAGATACCAATCTTTTGATGACGTAAGGTGTGTGACGTAATTACGAACTTGGCCCATCAACGTTACGTAGGCATAAAGGGCACCAGCGTAGAAGTAACGGGGTGCCAGTCTGAATCGTACGTGTAGTGATGCCTGTACAAATTTGGCTGGAAAATCACGCATTTGCAGACTTGTGTAACCGATTCAAAAAAAAAGGGGGGAAAAAGGCTCCCTGCGTGCGAACAAAATGGCCTCATCGGATGATTTGGTAAGATTGAGACTACTCATTAATTTCCATAGCAACCGATTCGAACTGGAAGTTATTGACACAGGAACTTTTTGCCAGATTTTCTTGGTTTTCTCTGTATCTTTTCCCCCAGTGCATGTAGGCTAGAACGCCAAAGAGGTCTCTGAGAAGCATTTTAGTTTCGTCTCGTACGGAAGATATTCGATAACTCTTGATGGGGGGTGGGATGTAGGTAATAGGTATATATATTTTTTTCTGAAGCAAGACGTTTGCATTAGAATACAATTTCGACTCCATGGAAAATGTCCTGCTAACCAAAAACGAACAGTTTTTGCGAGGGGGCTTACACAAAGAGTCCAAATCCATGCCTGTAGTCTGATAACCATTCTCCCTTTTAGTCAGGCCAAATTGAAACTGATTATTTGTACTTGAGGGGCGCTGTAACAGATTGCGTGTCACGCCCAATTGCATTGACGAAAGCAGACTGTCGGATCGCCGCGAAGTTTAGTCTACCACATCTGCTCCGAGCTTTTTATAGCTTTTATAACAGCTGAACTTGAGACTTACAAAAGAAAAACCCGTCTTCAACAAATAAACGGTCGAGGCCGACCTATCCCTCCCGCCTTTCCAACCCGCCGATCGCGCGCTCCAAATCCACGGTCAACGACATCGCTTGTTCCGGGCGCGTTGGAAAAAAAACGCGGCCAACTGAAACACTGCACACATAACGGTCCTTGCTTTAGACATTGACCTATATTTCTTTACCGCACTGTTTATCTTTGCAGAAAGCCACTCTTTTCTTTGCCGTGACTTTGACCGGCGATGAGATCGGTGCGCCAAGTGGGAACGGAAGTGGCCTGTCGTAACCTAATCGTAAACCTCACCGTTCGTAGGTATTCTGTGACAGCAAGTGACAAAAGGACTTGTATTGCGAATAAAAGAATCCAGACGCCATTATGTTCCCAATCGCCACTTGGTATACGGTGTACTGACTCAGTCGTTACACAAATAAAAAGAAATCTTCAACAACCGCCATTCTTTTCTTGTTTTCCCGCCTAAAACACGATCCATCTCAGGTATAACGACTTCTTTCTTCTCGATTTTAATCATCGTCTGAACTGTTGGAAATTCAAACCAATATATAGGAGTCTCATAATGACTGCCTTGTGACTAAGCACTGTTGCACAAATCGAATCTTATTTTTAACCATTTTTGGGGGGCCGGAGGGGGGAGGGGGCTGTCACCGACCGCAGTTAAAGTTAAGATGTATGTCTGTAACTGGATTGTGCACGGCTTGAGGTCTGAAGATATTTATTCACTAAAACAAAACCGATGAATCAGACTATTAAATGCCGCGACAAATCCAAGATAACCTGCTATTTTCCCCTCCAGGCAGAGTGACGAAACTCGGATATTCGAGATTTCCGTCTTTTGGTCGAGCAAGTGGCAATCCAAATCCTCTCCAAGCTGATCCATCTGTGTTCTCTTACGCGAGAAAGAAGTAGGTTATTGAGTACAGTCATTACAACGCATGCCGGTATTGCCGGTACTTATTTAAGCGGCATCAAATCAAGAGATTATATTTGGAACCGAGTTAAGACCGATTAGCAACTTCGGAAAGAGACTTGATTTGTGTCACTCACATCTGTTACTATTTTTGGTCTTGTCTTTCCTCAAATCCTATTCAGGTTTTGGTCTCTGCCATTCTTTTCCTATCGCTGAGATTCAGATTGTATCTTTACAGGCCCAGGACCACCGATATTAATGTTTACATCAATGGGCGACATAGAAACAACTGGTCTTAGATTTACAAAGAGTTTTTTGCAGTGTGAGAGAAAAAAATGAGACTTCATAGAAGTTGAATTTGACAATTTAGGCGGCTTAGACTAACCTATACTTACCACCAAAGTTAAACTGAGCCCAAATAGACCCTATGCGTATCGGCCATCTTAGATGTAACAATCAATGCACAAAGGTTCTTTCATGCATCAGCAAAACGAAGGCATTGCCCTCTAAGATGGCTGCTGCGCAAGGTCTACAGAATAATGTTAAAACAGTAATACACCGTATAGTGTCACACACACACATTTAACTTTGTCGTTGCATTCACCCGCAATCTCTACGGCTGCGGCTCACTCTTTTACCATTGCCATATCGTCACGGCAATCTAGCCATAGGCGACAAAAACCCAAGAATTGGGATACGACTAACATTATACTTTTAATACTTTTTACCATTCACGAAGCTAAGCATTAAATAATGCAGTTTAAAACATGATTTTTGACTACAGTTAAACCAAATCAAAGGTCCCGAAGTAGAACACAGCTGATACTGCTTATCAGTGGATTACTTGAACCAATTTAGGGGAACTAGCCAAAAATTCTGGCGACACAAGTAGAAAATTCCAGCTTATACGAAAAGGGTTGGGTGTAGTAGCTTCCACGGGGTATTAGATAAAGTCTTAACCGTCCACTCAAGGGGATTGAGTGGGGTCAGATTTGGTATTGAGGAGTGGCAGGAGAGGTGGAGTTAAGATACTCTCAGGTCCTCAGCGAGCATTGAGTGATGTCTTGGTCAGTGACCGTTGTCAGTTTCAAATTTAAGCGGAGGACAACTGAACCACGCCCTCTGTAGACTCAACTTAAAGAGTCGCAGGCGCCGAATGCATGATATCATTTCAATGAAAAGCTTATCATTTGCCTTGATGGGTCTTTTGTTTATGTATTACAAAGACCGTCACTTTAATGACTTCACGGTGTTTAACACATTTTACAGGTGTCACGGCCCCGTCACGGAACTTAAATTCAAAAATGTTAAATGTTGCAAGTTTTTAAGGTAAAATTGCCTTATTATCGATCACATCAGTAATGGTAAAGTCTATGAGATAACTCTCCATCATCATTTACCAGCGGCAGCTTAAATGGCTTGGACATTGTGCTGAGGAAACCAAAAGACAATCTGGTCAGCCTCTATGCCCTCTAGCAACCTGTCCACGGGATCTGGCTTATACGGGAACGCAGTAACTTTGTTGTACCCACAATACATTGGCAGAATACTCTCGAAAGATGTAACGCTTACATCATAGTGAGGCTGCCCAAGATAGAGCAATTTGGAGAAACATGTGACTGGCTGCGCAGCCGCTTTTGCCTGTAAACGTTTCAAAAGTGGGTTAGGCTACTTCCAAGGCGTCCCATATTTGGGGTTTACATTTTCCCGCCTTGCACAGGACGTGTGTACCCTTTTCTGCAACCAAAATTGAAGGCCCTTTATCAAATTTTACAATATTAATTCGTGGTGATACTATTTTTCCACAAAGAAATAAAATTGACGGGTAGGCCTTGTAGAGACTTGTTAGTCTTTACGATCGAGCAAACGTCAATGTTTTGCCCGCGCACTCATGTTCGCTGGCCTACCTGTAAAAACAGAAGTACAACTGTTTGAAATCTGCTGGGTGCGTGATGATATCACGATGACATCACTAGGTGTGTGCAGTGGGTACTTTCCCGCGCGGACTTTGATGTTTGAAGAGAGATATATGGTGGAGGTATTCTTATGTTAGGCAATCCCTAACACTCTTGCCTTTTTGGCGGTTCTTTTTGTATTAAAGAAGAAAGAAGACAGTTTGTCGCATGCTCAATGCTGCAAGGTCATCAAACTCAGACCCGCTTGAATTGAATGGAGCAACAGAGCGATAAGCACACACAATACTCCTATTGTGATTGGATATGTACGGTACAACTCGTGCTACGGCCCACGTCTACGCACCGACGTCGGGCTCGTCAGCCAATCAGCGCGCTCTGTTCGGACCACGGGACCGCTTGTACACGCGCGTCAGACTCGTCATCATGGTGAATCACATTGTCAACTGTGTAATGCGGGGCCCGGTACGTGCATTGTCAATGCGTATAGTCTACAGCTAGCTGGGGTATCCCGCCTGGCCGGGCCGGGCTAACCCACGTGCGATCGGCTGGGTGTGTGACGAGTCACCCGTCCGTGTATAAATAGCCTCACTAACTCGTACCGGCTGTCAGTAGGCCTTGCAAGCAGCCCAACGTTAGCGCCGGCACACCACATAATCACACCACTCACCCCATCAAGATCAGCACTCCATTACCTCACACCGGCCTCATCGTGAAAACTCGTTTTCTCGTCGGATATTAGATAATATTTTTTGTAGTTTAAGTAACCCAATATGGCCGGGATGAGCGACGATCCGAACATTGCGAAACTCTTCCAATCCGTACAGAGGGAGTATCCAGATCCCGTCAAAGCAAGAGTCCAAGGTAGGCATCGGTCCTCTGTCATTATTTTAAAACTAAAAGAAATGATGTTTTTAAACAAATTATTCTTGCCCTAGCCCCTAGCTTGAAAATTAAAACTCAGAGTTCTATTTATGGTTGCATATCGATCATCAGAATTTTTAAACAGTTCTTTGTCCTCCAAATAACGGTTCTCTTCTTTAGTCCTCATGCTTTGATGGCTATAGAATTATGCATGCTTTTTGCCTCTACAGTCTAGTCTGATTGTGGATGCATTCATTGTGGCAGCATCCGGAGGGCTTACACTGCGGTTGAAAGCCACTTTCCACAAAAACACCAAACCACAAAATGGGCAAAAATCAATACAAGAACAGTTGCCCATTTTCCCCACCGTCCGCGCTTTGGACACAGTCGTAGGATTTTGTTTGTTTCTTTAAATGTCTGCCTCTCCTGAATGGAAATTGTTCATGCGGTCGCTCCCTTTGTGTTCTATGCATAAAAGAATCGTAGGTTGTGTAATTTTTTCTTTTCAGAAACTGAGGCAATTTAGCATGTTTTATGTACGTGCCGCTGCACGCCTTATGTTTCCGGCTCCAAACTTCATAAAACAACGTTTAACGACAAATTAATTTACCCACGCATAGTGCCGTATGGACGCCTACAAAATACATGGTATACATTGTTCAATGTAATGTTAGGCTCTTATTTTCTATCGGCCCTTAATTTGTGGATTTAGAATTTGTTTCAAACAGTTTCTTGAAGAATACTTTCATTTGTTGGTGGCCTACTTCGAATTGACCGTTATGTATGTAATCAATTATCAACCCGTCAAAAGCCGTGGTCATTAAATATAACTTGGAGCGTTTATCTTAGACCGGTTAACCTTGACCGCGAATAAACCATGGAACTAGGCCCCGGGCGGATTATACAAAGGCTTCATCATAATTATCCTTTGCCCTCGACCTTCTTTGGGGGAAAAAGTGATCTTGGACTTCGGTCCAAGTACAATAAAGCTAATCTATTTTAGGCATAAAGTTAACAAACACTGCTGAATCTGAAGGTTTTTTACGCGTAGCAGGTGTGCGCGTTAATTAATGACATCGAAGTGGGATAAAGCGATTGTGAAGTTTATGTGTTTTGTGGATCGATGGCATTTTTGTATGTTAAGAACTGAGCTTTGGTCGGCAGCACCTTTAGAACTTGGGTAAGGGGGAGAGCCACATTATACATTACCACATTTTGTCACGCTATTCCCAACTGGCAAACCACAGTACCTTGAAATGAAATGATAATGAGGAACGAGGATGGTTTAAATTCAAATTGTATTTTTTGAAATAAACTACAATTGTTATTTGGTTAATGCTCTTACAGATTTATAGGTATGAGAATTCATCCTAAAGACCATTATGCTATTGCGGCCATCTTGATTTTTTTAAATTTCAAATCAACGTAACCAAAGCGAGGCTGGAATGAAAAATAGTCTGGTTCCTGTTTGCACAAAAACATACAGGGAACATGACTGAAATGGTGGCAGCATGATAAAGGTCTATAAGGCTATGTAAGCTGCTTGTAGAGCTGGTCTCAGAGTACAGAACATTCTATTCAATGATTTAGAATGGCTATTCACTGAAAATCTTTTCATGTATCTGGTCTACGCAATGGGCCATATTTAGCACATTCATTGACGATACGGGGTAATCCTATATGAAAGCACTGCCCGACTCACAAGTGACAGTCAGTTAGTGGGTCTATCAGTGAATCAGACCATAGGGGGATCGATGCAAAGAGGACATTATGCTGGTCCGCTGGGAGCAGCAAAGTTACCCATGAGACTTTGTAGGTCGCTTGCCTGACCCACCGAGACTCTCCCGTGATTTATCGGGGGAGGGAGTAGATTAACCTTTTACATAACGACTGAAAGAATTCAAGGTGATGAGACCGCACAGCTGACCTTAACTAAGGTTAGACTTGGCTAACCGTCGCGCTAGTCTCGGGCGGATCTGAAACCTAGAGAAGTGAGAATTTACGACCCATGGTCGCCAAACACACGTCTCGGGGCCCCGGGAATATCACACGAAAACCACAGCAAAAACCCAAAAGAACAAGACCCCATGTTGAGATTGTAGGATTATGCACCGCGAAGCCAGGAACAGTTTGTGGGAACTATAAATTAACTCCACTCAAAAAAGCTCCAAGCAAGTATTCTTTTCGAAACTAGTGTAAATGTTAACAGGTGTTGGAACCAAAAACCTGCTCTGTGCGGCTAGCTCCTGTTATTTAACACCGTCGTACGTAGAAACGAACATGGTTGGTACCTGCTTAATGCGGACACGGATGTCCATGAGTTATAAAACAAGGACAGATGGTCACTTCCATTCAAATGTTCTGCCTCGTACTTGACACTGTTATAAAACTTACGTCAAAATTACTGTTTGCATAAAGTACACGTGCTAGGCATGCCGCATTTATATAAACATGAATTCCATAACACCCACACGGCACTGGTCCTGAAAAGCGAGGAATGCTACTTGGGTTTTGTCCAACGCGAGACTTAAAAAAGTGATGTTCCGTTAACTGAAGACTTAGAGATGCAGTTCAGTTTAAAATACATTTGAACATAATCCTGGTCATTAGTAGATGTGTAACATTCATTATTCTCATTTAGGGTTGTCAAGGTATTAAGGTGCCGATTTAAGGTTGCCGATTTAAGCCAATATTGTTATACCTGTACTGCCGCTTCAAGAGTAAGTTTTTGGATTGAGTCCAAGAATGTGATTGGTGAACTTGAACCTGACATGCCTGGGTGTGCTAGGAACACAAGTACCTGTCAAATGTCCATTCATGAAACACGTCGGTATCCAGGTGGGTTTGGTCGCCAGTAGCACCGCCCATCGGCAGAGGCCCTTAAAGGGATACTGCGTCAACTTTAGGTTGATTATTCTGGAGTATATTCAGTACAATCTTCATCACTAATAAAAGTTCTTAAACGAACACAGTTTTACCACTAATCCTTTAAACACACAGAAGCTGATATATTTAAACAGTAACTTGTTTTCCACACTAAATACAAATGCCATAAAAATGTATTATGTTTGTAGAGATTTGATATCAAAAAGTCGGTTCTACCCATTAAAGCCTCGTTTTTGGAACGATGAAACTGTATAGTATCCTTCCGGTTTTCCACGCCGACCAATCATTGATTATCCTTAAAATAAACGACTTCAAAATTTACCCATTCCGTTCTGGCTTTTTAATTTGTTTTAATTGTGTTATCGATGGGCCATACATTACCTCGACAATAATAGGATGTTGTACAAGTCGCTGTGACATTTGCTTTTACGGTGATTATTTGAACAAGTGTGTCCCGTATCGAAAAAAACCCGGTGATATTTAATGTCAGTGTACACAATCAGACAGAACTGTGTAGGCGTGTGCAATTCGATAGTGTCAATCTACTCCACGTTTTTTTGCCACGTTATCTGATTTCTATTATTCGTTCATTCATCGAAACGCGTCACGGATCTCCACTGTCAATTCATAAAGAGAGTGTCGTTAAGCTAGCCTGGGGGTTCGTCTGTTTGTTTACCAACTCAAACATTAATAAGTTGAACCTACTGAAAAATGTGTAATTTTGCCTCATTTGGAAGTGTGCTCTATGTGGTTGACCATAAGAACACCAAGTTCATTGTTAATGTCAGGGGAGGAAAGCCCCTAAAAAATTCCCCAACGTCCTTAAGATAACGATGCCCCTTTTTCATAGAAATTGAACAACGCAACCGTGTCACAAAGATAAAAGGAGGCGTGGGTGTAATCTTTTTAAAGTTGTATTGGAAGGAATCGTGCCGCTTGATATCTAAGTGATGAAGTGCAACATTTCAAGATACCGAATTGTATGGCGTGCCAATTTAGAATTCAAACGCAAAATAGCGATTTCAACAGAGATACATTGCTTAGAAATAGAAATGTCAATAGGAATAGTGATTTCTTCATTTCGTGATTAAAATGTAACGTCTGGAAATAGAGAGACAATGTCTACTATAAAATAGAGAATTCTGTATGCATGGCCCACTCCAGGATGTTAAATTTGCACGCCAATGCGTCGCCCCTGCTTTTAACCATTCGTTATGTCTCTTTACTCATACCGTATGCAGGTGTAATCCGACGCATGAATGTTAATCGGTTCTGTTGCATAGAGCTGTGCATTGAGCGTGTCGATATACGATTGCAAACGATGAGTGATCGGAATTCCGCTTAAAGTTCGATCACTCACAGACAGACTAACGATGAGACATAAAAAAGGACGTTATCTCATGCACCCCCCCCCCCAAAAAAAAGGTAGTCACAAAATTCACAATGGTTTGAAGCTCTAACTGCTCATTGGATAACAGCAAAAATCGTATATGTTTAACCACGATAACGTAAAATAATTATGTACTTTTCCGTTCCTCTTGATACTGATAGCATTAACCTCTAGTTTTATGAACTTTTGTTTCGTCCCAAACAAAAAACAACTTGCACCCCTTCGTGCCCGTCTGTACCCCCATCCAGGACAGTCATGATTTGCCCTTGAAGAAATTTCCCAAAAATCAAAGGAAAGGTAAAAAAGTTTGACTGAAATGAAGGGGTGGGAATTAGACTGAGGTTTTTCCGTGGGCGTATTGTGTAGGATCCCGCTAGGGTGATAACCAACGCAGATAAAAGTGGGAATACGCGCGTGTTCGTCCAATCAGCGTTGAGTATATAAGAGCGCACACCCTCTCAGTTCTTGTTCATTGTGTTAAAGGGACTGTCATGCCGAAGACTTTTTTTTCTTCATTTGACCGACAGCACAGTGAGCCCTCTTGCGTTTTTTCTTCCATAACACTGGATGAACTTTTGAGTTGTTTGGGGCGAAGTGGTAGTAACAAGATTGGAGTAAACTTCTAAGCATCAATTTATTGTAAATTTGCAAGTTGAGAGGAAATTTTTCCAAATCTTTAAGTTAACTTCCCTACAATCGGAACGAGAAACAATCGATCAAAATT